TAGTTTTCTTAGAATGTTTAGGAAAGAAAGGCATCCAGGCAGGGAGTCAGCTTCCCTGCTACCAAGTCTGGAGTCTGACCTTCTCCTGGGCCCCGGTGCCTGTTCAAGCTTCTTGCCTCTTTCCACAGCACTCAAATCTTCACCGATAGTGCTTCGCCGGACAGAAGTCTGAGGCTGGGCTCATCTGGACATCTGCCAGTAACAGAACTGGCAGTATAGACTATTCCTAGAATGCTGTTGAGCTCATGATAACTTTTGCCCTCTCTCAAGCTCCTTAGCCTAACTTGATATGCTCAGCTCTGAAACAGCTCCAGGATGATCATGTCTGCCATTCACATCAGGCATTCATCGGCAGCTGTGTGCATGGTATTGAAGCAGGGCAGAATGCCTGGACTCCAGAGAGCAGCCAGAAGCCTAAAAGCCAAACCCAGGGCAATAACTATGCAACGGGGCTAGAGTCGATCAGAGCTGACCACACCCAGTCACTGTGTGGGCTCTCACCCACCTGCACAACTGCAGAGACTTCAGGCTCCAGGAGCAACAATGGAGTTTAGTTTACACACAGGGGAAACAAAGGATACACTGTAGCCTCAAGTGGCAGCTGTCCACCCCAGAGAGTGTCCACCTGATTTTCAGATGTACGCAGTGTTGTCCCCCTGTTGACAGAGCTGGACAGCACTGGCCGGTGGTGATGGTCACTACTGGTCACCCAGAGGCAGTGTTAGATCACCTCAAAGGCTTTGAGGGCCTTTAGTGCTCCCTTCAGGTGATGTCAGAGACGGGACCAGAGGCTTCTGAACCTTCCTCGCAGGTCGATTATGGTCCTTCTTACTTCAGAAGCCAGGACAGAGTCTTCTTCTTCCTTCAGAGGCTGGAATGGATCCCCTTCTTCCTTCAGCGGCTGGAACAGTGTCTTCCTAGCTCCCTCTGGCCCTGCTTGAAATCCTCTGGCTTCACCACATACAAGTCTGACTGGGACTGATTTTTCTTCTTTTTTTTTTTTCTTTTTTTTCAAATATTTATTTATTTATTCATACAGAACTGGGGTACAGGCCAGAGATGTGGAGGGTGTGAGGCTTCACCAGAGACAGAGTGGGGAGCAGAACAGGCAGATCGACGAAGTACACTGCTGAGGGGAGCAGCGGGCGGGCCAGGAGAGGTCTGCCTCGCCATATGGATCTCCTCCGGGACAGGCGGGGATCGAACTCATGCAGAAGTGGCTGAAGCCTCTTTCCCGCTGTGCCACAGGGAGGGCCCGGGACTGATTTTTCAATCCTAGAGTTGATTGGACCATTAAGTGCCAATCAGCTATAGCTCACACTCTATTATTCCATTCTACCATCCCTGTACTACATATAAAAGAGAGGCTGTTGGGCTCCAAAGAGTCACAGCTAGAGCAGGCCTGTGATGGAACAGCAGGGTAGACCAGCACTGCCACTTCTGTAGCTCCTGGCCCGATGGGTTCCAGTTTCAGTTTGTATGTACCAAGGACTGTGCTAAGCATGAGTGATGCAAGGTTGGGACAAAGCTTGAAGCAGGGCCCTCTAAATTACTAGGCCCAGTCTCCCTGAGGGACATCAGGTGCAGTGCACCTCCCACTGAGTTCTCTGGAGCCCTGCAGTCCAGGAGCCTGCCCTGGCCTCATGCAAGTCATTCTTGGCAAGGGCCAGGCTTTTTTCCCTTTTATGTCAGGCTCCAGGATATACTGAAGAACGGACCGATGTCATTGGAGCTTGACTAGCAACAATCAAACAGGTGGGATTGGAGCACCCCCTTCTTTTTTGGCAGTCATGAAAATCTACAGTTATCCACCATGGCAGTTATGTAAATATAGGATCGTGAAACTCCCAGTGCTGATTGGAGCTCCCATGGGTGCCAATCAACTAAAAGGACCAATCAGCTTCAAAAGGTGGGCACCTTGGAGAGTATTTAAGCCAGGTTCCCAACAACTTGAAGAGGGGCATATGTGCTGAGGGAAGATGGACAGAGACTTGAAGACTTGTGTGAAGTTTGGAGGAAAACTTGAAGAGGATCTGAAGAAGCAGTGGGAGGAGCAGTCAGACTCATCCAGAAGTCTTCATGGAGCTGTAACGCTGAGCCCTGTCCTCGCAGACTCGATCTCCAATTCTCCGACACCACCGGCCCTGTGCTATGAGGTAGCTCTAGAAGAGCTGTGTGCTGTTGCTTCATGCCCAGTGTCTCTGAGAGCTGCGACACTGGTCCTGTCCCGACACATTGGCACCGCCTAGTTCTGTTGCCTTTGGTATTGTCTGGCCAGGGCTTCGGTGCTGTCAGGCCTGGTTTGGATCACTGTCGCTGATTTCTGTGGTGCCACCTCTGCTGAGAATATCAACCCTTCGTGACTTGAGACCTTTGTGTCTTGACACCTTCATGACATTTGAACCATTATTACAGCCTCTGGCCTCACCTCAGACTCTTCTTTTTCCCAGTTTTTCTCTCTCCTTTTTAAATATACCTTGTAATAGTTCAACCCTGAGCCAGAGTGATCTTGCAGTTAAGTGCACAAGTGGGAATCACAAAGAGTGAACAGTTCCCCACCCCTTGGCACTGTGATTTGACCTGTATTTGCACTGTACTTCAACGCTGTCTCCAGTCAAGAGATGAGTCCTGCACAGGGATGAATGCTGGCTAGAGAAAGGACAGCGCTCAGGCAAGCTGCAGAAATGCCATCTGGAAACTGGTTGGTCACACAGCAACTGCCAGCACACATGTCACCTGGGAGCCTCCTGGGCCCATAGACCTAGAGCAAAATATAGCTGGCCTGGGCCAGTATCCTTTGTCTTGCATGCTAGTTTACACAAGTGAGAAAAAGGTTTGCCATCATTTTTAATGAGCACCTACAATACATCTACCAGATATCTCTATTATAAATGCTATCTTGATCCCTAATGCAAATTCGATGAGACAGATATCTTCCCTATGAACAGATGAGAAAGCTGAGGCTCTGGTTAAATAAATTGCCCAAGATGACACAGTAGTTGGCAGGACCAGGATTTCATACAAAAGCTTGTCCTCATTTCCATTCAGCCAAACTTCTGGGTAGTCAATCCACAGTTCTCTCAGCTGCTCTGAGCAAGTGTGGCTGCCAGGGCTTTGCCCCAGAAGATGGAAGGCAAGTTGGCATCCTCCCGGCGAAGGCCAGGCTCTTGGAGGACCAGGAACACACTGTGCCACATGCAGGAGTCTGTTTCTTTGCTCAGTGTTGGGTTTGGGCCCCTTTCTGTGTGTCTGGGTTTAATGATGTGTGCTGCTGGCATCCACTATAGTAACCTGAGCCCTGGTTACAGGTTTGGTCAGAACAGAGTGAACCCCTCCCCCACACACCGCAAGGGGAGAAAGTACTGAGTCATCTGGACTGGTGGTCTCTTTGTCACGTGACCTTGCACAAGTCTGTCCAGCCCCTTGAACCTCAGGTGCCTTCCTGATCACATGGGGATAAAAGAGGATTCTGACTTCTTCAGCCTCCTCCGACACTTGAGTGAAATCCCACAGGTAAGGGCCTGCCACCTGCCTGCCTCTCCTTGGGCCTTAGCGGTTGAAGTGCCTACTAAGGATTGTAGAAAATGCAGAAGGTATGGTTGTGGAGAGCGCTTTACACTTGGTCCCACAGGAAGTGGTGCTCAAGCATCACATTGTGAAAAACAACTTGGTTGACACAAGCACTATGCTGAGTCCCCAGTGGACTTTTTTCAATTCTGGAAGAAGATAAAGGAATGAGACAAGTGAAGCAGTCAAAGTGACGTAAGCAAGCAAGAGGTATGGGAGACAGCGAGCTCCTCTCCTTCAGCAATTTCCTCCCCTCCTGTTCTATCTCCTCCTCTTCTACTATGCCTGCAACCACTGATAGTGCAACTGGTGGCTGAAGCTGGAAACTGTTACAGGTGGTGCCCCCTGGAGGGGGTTGTTGGCAAAAGTAGAGCGCCCCAAGAAAAAATGCTAAAAGTGGGGTGGAGCAATTGATCAGTAATATAAGGGACTAAAAAACAGGCCACAGTAGTGTGACTGTTTGTCAGGTTGTTCGGCCACTACAGCTGTGGCGTTGAGGGGCACCTGTCTGATGCTGTGCTGAGGCATTTGGCAGCTCAAGGAGAGTCTCTTGTTGCGTCTTCTGCTGTGTTTGTGAGTCAGATCCTGGCCTATAGTTTGGCTGTTGCGTGTTTACAGTGGCAGGAAGACATTTTTAGACTTGTGGATGCCATTTTAACGGCCTTTGTATAGGACTGGAAAATACTGGACGTGGCTTTGGGTAAACAAAATGGCCATTATGGCTTCAGTAACTTGTTTTTTCCCTGGTGTGTTAAATAATCTCTTTTTGTTGTTCCCTAAGCCTGAGTAGTCTTGCAATTGTGCATACAGGAGAAGAGCTCAGTAACCAGTGCACTATTTGGACAGTATCCTTGGCCTAGGACAATATCCTTGCTGCTCTATGCCCAGTATGCCACTTTCAGCATGACTGTGGGTCCAGGCTTTACAGCAGGACACTCCGAGTTTGAATCCCAGTTCCACAACTAACTGCATGACCTTTGTTTGGGTGTTCTGTTGAATCTCACTAAGCATCAGACTTATTCTCAATAACATTTCCCTTAAAGGATTATTGTGAGGACTAAAGGGGAAGGTGTAAGTTTTCACCTGAGTGCTTGTACATAAAGAGTGTCCAATATGTGTATGTCATTGATAATTTCATTCTGATACTAGTTTGTCTATATTAGACATCTGGCTCTGTTGGTTATGAGCTGTGTGACTTCAGTTACATTACTGAACCTCTCTGTTTTTCTTCCTTCTCTATATTGCGAGCATTCAATAAGGTGGACGTTTTCATTTTATTTCATTTCCAATACTTTTCTCAGCCCCTCTCAAATTCTAGTCCCTTCCACGTCCCTTAGGTTAAGACCCCTTTTGCTTCTAGCAGTCTATATTTATGATTTTGTGGCTGACACTCCCTGACACTACCTGAATCAGAACACACTTCCACATATTGGTACAGGAGAGAATTTATTTCGAAAAATCGGTCAGTACAATGTGTACTACAGAACATCGCTCAGCTCACATCACAGACATGGGATAAACAACTTCACAATAAATTAGGGGACCTGTGACCTTCAGGAGGGCTGCCTTTAGGCAGTCATGTTTTATCATAAATACTACAAGGAGTTTTCTGGCTACTTTCAAATGGGATCAGACAGCCTGGGACCAGCCAGTAGGACATTTGCTGCAGGATATGATCAGCTCACATCTAGATTTTTCACTATAATGCCTCAGCACAGGGACCAGAATTATAAATCAGTGGAGGGTTCTGAACAATAAAACTCATTTGCTATAAAATTGAGGCTACCGGAGGGGAAGAAAGTGGTGGAGAGCAGTGTGGACGGAGCCTGATGGACTATACATCGGAGGACAGTGGGTGTGTTGGTAGTGGGCAGTGGTGTGTTAGCAAACATCGGAGGGGTATGATGCTGTACTTCTAAATCCTATACAATGCTGTAAACCAATGTTACCTTTTAAAAAACCTCATTTGCATAAAAGTGAGGTCTTCCCATTCCCTCCTCCCCTTCGATGTTAGCTGACTCCCCTGGAAGCCTCATGGGGGGGAGGTCATTCCTGGACAATGAGGCTCCTGGTCATTAGACAGTGGCAGATTCTTGATGATTCTTCTTGATCCAGGCTAAAAAGATGTCAAGCTCTCCCAGAGACTTAATGGCAGCTGACTGGACTTCCAGCTAGAATCAATGAAACCGTGATAAGAACCTGCACCTTTAGGCTACATAGTTTTCTAATCACTTCCCCCATGTTCTGGTGCCCAGATGTCCTTTTTACTCAACAAATACATTTACATAGCATTTCAGACTCTGAAGTATCTCCATAATCGGCAATACAAATTGTTTTCCACAAATATGCAATTAGATCATATCAGCAATTTATAAACAAAGTTAGAAATTCTTTATTCCTGGCCCTCCTTTGTGGCACAAAAGGTTGTCTCAGCACTACGAAGCTGGCCACAGCCACTGCAGCATAAATTTGATCCTCGGCCAGGGAGCTGCCCCACATAGCTTAGCAGACCTCTCCTGCTCTGCCTGCTGCAGCCCTCAGCAGTGTATTTCAGTCAATCTGCCTGTTCTGCTCCCCACTCTGTCTCTGGCGAATCTTCTCACCCCCTGCACCTCTGGCCTACACTCCCTCTCTTATATGAATAAATAAATCTTTTTAAAAAAACTTTATTCTTTTGGGCCCGCCATGGTGCGCAGCAGGTTAAAGCACTGCACTAAGAAGCTTAAGCCACTTCCGCATGAGTTCGATTCCCGCCTGCCCCTGAGGTGACCACATGGCGCGGCAGACCTCTCCTGATCCGCCCGCCGCTCCCCTCAGCAGTGTACTTCGTCCATCTGCCTGTTCTGCTCCCAGCTCTCTCTGGTGAATCCTCTCACCACCCCTCCACCTCTGGCCTGTACCCCATTTCTGTATGCATCAATAAATAAATCTTTAAAAAATAAAAAACCTGTTTGTTCCTGGTTTTCACAAAAGAAAACTTGCCCCACCAGCCAGTTCACCATACTTTCTTTCACATCAAATTGATTTATTATGTCTGTTCTCCCAGAAATACTCAGTCTCAGTGGTGTGACACAGCGGTAGCAAGAGACTGTTTCCCCACTTTATGTACTAGGCACTGACAGCCCTAAGGACGAACCCCACTGTCATGCAGAGCTATCAGCAGAGCTGGAAATACCAAATCTCCTGACTTAGTCACCTCTTCCTCAGCATTCTGGGAGACACTAAGACCCAAAAGCATGTCCCAAGGGTCATCTGGCATGATGTCTAGTCCTGCCTGCATACTTATTTGCAGTATAAACCTGCATTGCTTCTGTCCCCTCGTTTATCAAACACAGATAATGGCTCAGGGCATTATTGCAATGAATGAATGTATTAATATTGTGTGCTTAGAGCCACTGGTTCAGAGTAAAAATGATTCAACTCAGCCATGGAAGATAAAAATGTCCTGTAGAATGTCTCAACAAAGAAGCAGGGCTCAGAACAGACTCTGGCCTCTTTGTCATTATTTAGCATGGGCAGCATTTGAGTGTGGTTGAAATGCAGAATCTCAGGCCTCTTCCCAAGCTACTGAGCCAGAATCTTCATGTAAAAGAATCTCGAGCACCTGCTTCTGCCTCTGCCTCTGTACCACAATGCCTTCCCCAGCCGCAGCCATGCGAGAGGCTCCCTCCTCCTCAACACACTGACTGTCGATGATGGTCACTGGCGGAGACACCTCCAGGCCAACTCATTTCATGCATCACAGCTTAAAATCCCCTGAGGATTTTGGCTTCCATCATAAACAGTATTTTTTTTTTTCCTTAAATTTTAAACATTGAGGGGTTAGGACATGGTAGACGATAAGGGGGTAAGTAAGTTAAAGAAATTAGCAAATGAGGTGAGACAATGTGTTCTTTGCAGTCACATGGGAACTGGGGTGCCTGCATCCCACGGACTGGTGAAGCGAATGGACAACTTTGGGGAGAAGAGGCTCAAAGCTTGGCACACTGTCTGTCAGGCCCCTACTTCCGCCCCGTCCTCCCTGCTCTCACCTGGTTATAGTTGTCATGGACCATACTGGTTGCATTGGCAGCTTCCTGTCTGCAGTGGCACAGCGTCTGCTCCTGGTGTGCAAAGGGAAAGTGCACACGTTAGAGGAATTCCCAGCCCCCCTCGTTTGCTGCCCCCCCCCAAGACAGACATTTCTGCTTCCTCCAAGGAGACAGTCAGCTGAGCAAACTCTGGGGGGGCAGAGTCTATTTATAGACTCCCCCTGCTCTTAGGAGTGTGAGGGATCAGGAAAAGAAAGAATTGTAAGAAAGTAAAACAAAAACCAACAAACAACTGTAAAGCAGAGACATTCTACGGGGGAGAAGACGGAAAGAGGATCAAAACTGGGGTGGGAAGAGCACACAGGACTACAGTGATGGCACATGGGTGAAATGGTGGGAAACCCACGGGGATTATAACCGAGATGCAAAAATGTACAAAATGAAGAATGATGTAAATATATATATGTGTGTGTGTATAAACTTTTAAAAAGTTTAATAGTAAAATAATTAAATAAGTAAAGGTTTTTAAAGGCAAAAAAAAAAATCAACTTCCCCTGCTCCTGACCAGTGTCTGCTTTCTCTGGGTGGACAGTCCGCCAGAAAGAAAGGGGCACGGGCACCAAGCCTGCCTTGTCACCGCTGTGAATGCAGCAGCCCGCAAGATGGGCACTGGGTGAGTGTTTGTTGGGCTAAGTGAACCTGCTGGGTGCCTCATCTTAATGTAAACGGGACAGAGGCCTCTTCTAACTACCTGAGAATTCAAGGCAGAGAGAGGTAAAATCAGGTAGGTGCCACAAAGTCACAGGAAATCATTGGCAGGGATGGGGCTAGAAGCCAGGATTTTTCCTATTCTTTGTTGGTCTGTGGTTTAGTTTCGTTTCTAATGTGTTTCTTTTTCATGGATCATGATAAATTGATAGGCAACCCACAGGTTACAGCAGAGAAGCACCAAAGGTTAATCCTTTTGGAAACCTCAAAAGATGAGAAACAAAGAAACTAGGGAGATGTTAATGATGTGCTTGGCATCCTTGGCACGCCTCTCTTCTCTCACTGCGTAAGGGATATTTTGACATAAGTGACCACCCCAGACAGATTATTGTTGAGGAACCCCAAGTCTAATGAGGTAGCAACAGGGAGGAAGGCTTAGAGGAGTGCCCACTGCAAGAGAGTTTTGAGCATTCCTGCAGGGAATTTCCTGTGGGCCCAGGAGCCATCCCAAAGGCCTATGAGGGCCAGAATGTTCTGGGCTTTTCCGGAGGCAGACAAGAAACAGATGTTTGAAATCCTGACCCAGTGACTCACACATTGTTTCAGAGTCTTCTGCATGTAGAGGAAGGAGTTGGCAATGCTGCTGATTTTTCTCAAGATTTTGGGGTTCAGCTCTCGATGGTCTTTGAACACCCGGTCCACATAAAATGCCAGGAGGTTCTTGGTCACACAGCATACATCCAAGGGCTACAGACACAAATTACACAAATGTCATCTCAGAGACCAAAGCCGTCTTCTCAAGTAGAGGCAGCAGGAATCTGAGTGTCCATCTCCCCTTACCACACCTGAGCACCAAAGCTGTGGAGAGGATTGCAGCCCGCCTCCCTTCTATAGGACCAGGAGATGTGGCAGCAAGGGCTGGAGCCCAGTCACAGACCAGAACTCTCTACAGCGTCACAATGAAAGATGATATGTCATTGCTAACTGATGCTTAAACCTTCGAGGAATCAGGCAACTCCCTTTTGAAAGGACGGACGTCTGAGCTTTCTTGAAAAGTATTTACTTACATTATGCTGCTGCCTGCCTCACTGTAATGTCCTCTGTCCATCAACACGTATTTAGTCAATGGCCATGGCATGCCAGATGTGCACAGGACGTCTGTTCCTGTAATAGCACTGTTTATCCCAGCCAAACCGCTCACTCTTGCCCAGGGATCACTGATGGGACTGAGTTGTGCCAAAATGGAGAATGGCAGCCGTGACTCTGGGTCCATCGGGCAGGCCCAAGCTGGCTAAACACAGATGTCCCTGACAGGAACATTCCCAGGCCACAGCTCAGAGCAGCTGGCCAGCCTAGTTTCCTTCCAGCCATCCACAACAGCCCTGAGAGGGAGAGCGCTGCACAGCACGTGGACAGCCCAGGCTAGGGACCAGGGGACCACACAGGCCATCTTCATGCACATTGGAGTAGCGAAAGCATCCTTCACCCTACCAACAGGCAGATCTTCCTAGTTGGCAACTCTACACACACAAAAGCCTACTTCTTCCACTTCTGCTGAGTCCCTCAATTAAAAAGCAAAAGAGTGCACACCTTTGCTTATCAAGGATGGAGGGAGGGAAGAATCTCCACTTCTCTATACTATATCAGCTATTTCTAGACCTCGGTAGACAAAGATCTGGAAAGACAAGCATGAGACTTGGAGATCTATTCCTGGCTGGACCATTAACTAGTCAGTCTCCCTCCCAAGGTCATTTGAAAATAATAGTTTGGGAAAAGGTGCACTTTCTGGTCCCTTCTAGTTGTGATATCCTGAATCTCTTAGACAATCAGTGGGAATAATTCAGTAACTGGCTAAGTTTGCTTATCACAAAGAAACCAAGCAGAATTACTAGCTACAAAAATTATCTCTAACAGACAAGAAGTAACTCAATGCAGATAGACCTTGCAATCTAGCACACAAATACTGGAAACTAATTAGATCTTCTCGAATGCTTCTAAATACTGGAAGAGCTCACTTTCAAAGGCAGGTACTGCCTGTGGCTCCTTCTGTAAACTGAATTATCACCTCCTAAGTCAACTGTCTGGTAATTCACTTATCTCAACCCTTGTCTAGACATTAGGCCGATCTCTTCATGGTTTTTTAAAATAATATAATAGTTATTTTTACATCATGGCTTTGTACATTTTTTTTTGTACATTTTAAAGACCATCACCCATCTATCTTTCTTTTTGTAAAAATGATTTATTTTTATTTATGCATACAAGAGTTGGGGTATAAGCCAGAGGTGCAGGGGTGGGGGGCTTGGGGAGGTGTTGAGAGGATTCACTAGAGACAGAGTGGGGAGCAGAACAGGCTGAAATACACTGCTGAGGGGAGAAGCGAGGTGAGACAGGAGAGGTCTGCTGCACCACATGGGTCAGCTCCTGGTCAGGGATTTATTTCATCTCGCAGTGGCTGCCAGTAGTTTGATAACGCTGAGACTTTCACCCCTGTGCCGACAGGGAGGCCCACCAGCCTACCTTTCTAAAAGACTTTGTGGTCATATAAGTCTTTGCCCAGAATCCTGCAGAGACTCTATTGCCTGTTTTTAACACTCAGGCTCGGCCTGGCTTTTAACGTCATCGATAAAATGATTTTAAGACATATTTTAGTACACTTAAAATGTATTTTTTGGTAAAAACGTATTTCCCCCCACACACACATACCTGTATGTCCCTCACACCACAGATCCTATTGCCTCAAACACACACACACTGATCTCATGCCCCATGTTCCCCGTGTCCTTTCCTCCTTTTTAGCCACCAACCCACAGCTACGCAGCTTTGAAATCACAGCTTATTTTCTCAATTCCTCTCTGAAACCTTCCAGAACCAGCCTAAGTCACAGGCAAGGTTCACTTTAGCATGTGCACCCCCAACCACCCCGTAGGTAAGTAACCCTTCTTTAATCTCTTCCAGAGGTTTCCCAGTCCCTGTTCTCACACATTAACGGACAAATAAGGTGCATTCAGAGGACGGTGGACATTAGGAAAGAAGGATAGAGAGACTCTCTGAGCCCAGGGCCACTTTGTGTATTAAAAATAACAAGAGCAGACAAGGTCCAGTACCTGAATACTGTGCAGGGTGTCCGATGTGACCAGGATAGTGACATTCTGCAAGGTGTCCTTGGCTTGCTGTGGAGGGACACATGAGAACAGACCCAGTTAGTGCTCTGTGCACTCTTGAGAGCGCAAGACAGTGAGAAGGAACTGGCTCTTCAAGTTAGATGCCAGATGGCCACGGCCCTGGCTTAAACCTTCAGCAAAGTCTATACTCACAATGTCTCTCTTGATGTCTCGGAAGCTCTCCTCTATGTGGTGCACGTCTGTGGACACCAGACATCGCCTGAGACTCCGGGCGCATGCCAAGCTCAGGAAGAGTGCTGTGCCCAAGAGACAGAGGCAAACACGCGGCGCCATCATGTCCTGCAAAATGGAGTGGCGGGTCGTGGCTCAGCCAAGAGTAGGGAGCAATGGAGGAGACCCTGACTGAGTTCCCCTTTGGCCTTTGCAGGGAGGGCCAGTGAGCAACCAAAGCTCATGATTGCAGCCTGTGGAGTCAGAGCAACGTCTCCTCCTCTGGTTTTCTTGAATCAATTAAATGTGAGCCTCCCTCCAGCCCTCTGGCGGTTCCGGAGTCCCAGAGAGCAGGAGCAGCGCTATCTCAATCCCCGGGGATATTTGTGTGGCTACCACTCTACCATGGCTCAGCACAATCTATGCGAGGAAGAGCATTGTTTTTAATCAATTAAATAGGAAAAATAAAGTTGGTGATGTGCCCTAGGAATTAGGCAACAGATCTAAAAAATCTATCAGATGGTGTGTCTGAAAAAGTCAAAGCACATTTGGAGTGTTGCTTGCCCCCAAGCCAGGCACACTCCTTTTGTAATAAAGCCCCAGCATGGATCTGCTTAAAATCATTTGCTTGATGCCAACTATGAAGATCATGCCTTCCCGAAAAGATGGGCAAAGGAGATGGAAAATATCCCCTGATAACCACTGTGAAGAGAGAGGTGCTAAGCAGAAGGCAAGTTGGAGGCTTCCGGACCCCAAAGCTGGGGTGAAGGGCATGCTCACACCAGCCATCCCCAGGCAGGCGGAGTGGGGACCCTTTGCTGCCTCCTGTTACCCGCTGCCCCTCCTGTCTCTACCTTTTTCCATTTTTCAATTTTAAATGTTATCATGTGATACATATTGAAAAAAACACACACACAAGCACTTAGCTTATTCAGTGTCTTTCTGCAAGTTTCACAAGCAGAACTTAGCCTCAATGATAAGTTTATGGCATATGTGGCAAGCCAGGCCTGTACCCAGCATCCTCTCTGATGCCCATCAAGCACTCCCACTCCAGCTGTGTGCTGGGCAGGCAGGAGGCGGCGGGAGACACAGCAGGCCAGGCGAGGGGCCACGGCGCAACTTCCTACAGACCTGAGAGCTGCAAACACAAGCTTGTGAAAGTATGAACCAGAACTGCCCCAGAATTCACCACCACTCTCCAGCTCCTCCTCTGGGTCCCGGGACCTTCTCCCGAAAGTCAAGAGACAGCAAAACCTGTTTAGAAAACCATGTTCTTTCCTCTCTCTTTGACACAGTGTCATTCCCAGCAAGTGAACAGGAGCCTGGAGATGAGGCGGGCATTATGCTAAAGAGCTGATTTCTCTTTGCCCAGTACCCCTCTCTGGCAAAACAAGAAAATACACACTATTGGCAAGAAAAAACAGATCCCACTGATGGAGTTCCCAGACCTCTGTGGTCTTTAAAGACAACTCGGGTGCTTGTAGAAAGCAAATTGACAGGAAGAGCTCAGACATCTGTGGAAGAGAACAGCGGCCCCTAAGCTTGCAGAGGTGATTCCAGACATCCTGGTCTCTTCAGGTAACAGCAGTAGCTAACATTTGTCCTATATGCCACTTGCAAAGCATTCTACATAACTGTCTTCTTTTGAGGTTCTGTTTCTGGCTCAATCTTGCCAAAGAGCGAACTGAGACTTGGAGGAATGATATACCTGGTCCCAGGTGTGTGGTCCTCATGGGACAGAGCAAGATGTGGAGGCAGACAGGCTGACCCTTGACCTCCCTCTTCTTACTCCTGTACCACCCACTTGGCACTTCCCCTCTGGCATCTCAACAGGGGATCCAAGGGACCCTTTCACCTCAGACAGATAGGGACACATTGCTGCCTGGCACCAGTGACCCAGCAGTGCGTCACACATTTTTAAAAGTTACAGTGGCCCTACCTGGTAGTGCAACAGGTTAGAGAGCAGCTCTATGAGTCTATCCACAGCCACTGCAGCATGAGTTCGATCCCCAGCCAGGGAGGTGACCCACATGGTGCAGCAGACCTTTCCTGACCCACCTGCTGCTCCCCTCAGCAGTGTATTTCAATCCATCTGCCTGTTCTGCTCCCCACTCTTTAGTGAGCCATCTCACCCCCACACCTCTTCACTCTTTAGTGAACCATCTCACCCCCACACCTCTAGCCTATATCTCAGTTCTTGTGTGAATAAACAAATAAATCTTAAAAGAAAAATCAAACAGATTGGTGATGGGAAGCCCACGGGGATTACAACTGAGATGGAAAAAGGCACAAAATGATGTAAAAATAAACTATCATAATAATAATGGGGGAAAATCAAACAAATTTTAAAAATAAAAAGAGACAGCAAAGAATTTTTTAAAATTTGATTAGAAAGTGCCCAGTGTCGTTCCTAGAAAAAAAATATTATAGGAAACATTTCCCTTCCCTGTCTTCCTCCCATCTTTCCACAGCCATCTCTTCTTACTAAAATAAGGCCACCAGCTCCAGCTGTGAGGAGCGCCCCTGCCTGCTCTCCAGAACACCCCGCCTGGGCTGGTCCCAGCCATAAGCTGAGGGCCGGCATGGTGATGAGTAAAAACCTCACCTCTCACTGCCGTTCTTCTGCTGCTCCTGTGACTCCTTCCTTGGTGTTCTTTGCCACCAGGAGAGGCCGGTCACTTTTATGCAGGTGGATAAGAGGAAATGGTATGAAATGCTGTGAAGGTTTACTGGGCGGGGTTCACCTTTGGGAGATTGTTTTTCCCCTTGTTTCCTTAGCATCTCATTTCCTTAATTATTTTCTTTCTTCTTTGAGATACAGCTGATTAATCATTATTAAGAAATGTCTTTTTCTTCTGGGTCTTGACATGCAGCTTCTAGGAAAAATAAACTCCAATCACCATGCAAATGAGAATTTCTTGTAATTCTGTGTCCATACAAAAAAGTCCAAGTTAGGTCAGTTTCCCGAGAGCTATGGCAAGCCACCAATTGCACCCTGCAGGCAAACTCAGGAAAGCCCTGACAGCTGTGCCCTGCCAGCAGCCAGCCCGGAGACCATGTGCATGTCCCAGCTCTGGCACATGCCATCCACCCATGTCTCATGTAGCTACTGAGCACCTATCATGAGCCAGGCACTAGTTGAATGTTTTATGTGCTTTATTATATTAGACTTTGTGGGGAACATACTTTCCTCAGGAATACAAGGATTTCTTTGCACAGCATCTGTTCCCTCCTTCATCAGTGCTGAGGCAGATCACAAGACTGGGCCAGAGTGGTTCAGCAGCTGGTGACAGTGGCAGTCCCTGCTCTTGGGCCAGAAGACCCTGTATCTGAATTCCCTTTTTACACCATCTCAGCATCATGGATTCTCCAGTGATTAGGGTTTAGGGTGATGGTGATGAAAAGATAAGGTGTGATGTTTCCTCCCCAAACATGGGTGCCCACTATAAACAGAGCTTGTTTTTGCCAAGTGAAGTAACGTTTGGGGCAGGACACATTGCAAAAGACCCCAGAGTCCTTTGGCAAAAGGTCTGGAGGAGACTGCCCTGCAGCCAGGCTGGAGAGTGGTGGACAGAGCCCTGGTAAAGAAGGAGGAGTGGGGGGGGGGGTGGAGACTTACTATAGGGGTAGGTGCAAAGGGAAGGGACCCCCTGGGACTGGGGGTCTTGTTGTGTAACATCATGGATGAAATGAAAGCAATGGAGTCCAGGGTCACATTGTAGAACTAGACTTAAATCCTCACTCTCCCTCTTTAGGAAGCACTAACCAAGCGATTTAAGGCCTTTCTGAAGGTTCAGGAAAATAGGTAAAATAAACTGTGATAATTTGAATAAAGTAATGGTCTTGATCCATTGTAAGTACTTCCCAAATTAATGTTATTTGGATGCTATGTGCTAGGTACTCAGAAAAGTGGAAGGCAACTTTGTTAGGGTTAATATACATGACCATTCCTTTCAGAAAGGGAGAAATAGCTAGTCTGGAGCCCAGAGAGCTCCCACCTCCTCATCCCTGCTTCCCTGGGAGGTGGGGGTGGTATAAGGGGAGATGGTACTGTTTTTCCAGCATGGCCAGAGCTCCCTGGCTCCTAGTGCACAGAAGGTGGCCCAGCACCACAGGAAGAAGATTGCACAGCTGTCCACACTGATGTCCCTGCAGTCAGCCCTGACCGAATGTTCTGACCCAACTATCATTTCAAGGCAAAGATGTCCTACCTGGAAATTTAGAGGGAAGAGACAGTGTGACGGCTCAAAGCTCCTCTCCAGCATGCAGTGCCCTCATGGCAAGATGCAGCCCTGGAGTTAGCCGGGCAGGCTACCTGCTCCCCACCCACCCCCCAACACACACCAAAAGGAAGCCAGTCAACCTCTGGGCCTGTTATTGCACCTGAAGAAATGGCAGCAATTATTCCTGCAGTTACTAGTACTGCACGTTCATGGCATGAAAACTCGGGGATGATTAAAGGCAAACCCCCAGCACAGTGTATGGCACTTAAGAAGGCACTAGAAAATGATAGCCTTTGTTCTTAGTTTTACAGTCCCCTTTTGAGGTCCTAAACTGGCAGAAAAGAGAAACAATAAGAAATCTCTCTTTCTTGTACCATGCTACTGAACTCATAATATAAATATGAACTATTTATAGATTTAATCCTATAAATTGTAGTCATCATGGTACGAATTATTACTGACATAAAAAGAGTAAATTGAGATGAAATGACATCCTCCCAGGATTACAACCAAACTATGGTGATCTGGGAGTGGTGGCTTCCCATCCCTACGTGCGAAGTCCTAGAACTCAAACACAAAGTGCATGAGGCATGGCAACACTCTCAACACACTCAAGGTGCATGTGAATCACCCCAGTAGATTTTAGGTTCAAGAATACATATAAGATCCATAGATGTAGCTTATGTGTAGCCTTAGAACTGGGTCTACCAGAACCAGGTGACTCACTGTTGGGATGCCAAACCTCAACTTTCCACTTGTCAAATAGGGAAGCAGAAAGAATGCAACAGAAAATAAAGAGGCCGAATAGAGATTGCTCAGATTGTCGTGTGCTGGACACATCTCCGTCACACTTCCTCCCCACTAGCTCTTCCCTAGCTAAGTTCTGGAACTCAAACAAAAAGTATGTGAGGCATGGAAAAGTCTCTCAAGGTGTATATGAATCACTCCAGTTGGATTCAAGGAACCATAAGATGTGTTAGAAAGTATAATAGAGAAACAATTTATAAAAGATAGAAATAATGATGCTGGCGATACTAGGAAACAAACAAACTTAAAATCCAAGTCTCTAAATGTTTGAATGTCTTGGTCCATGTATCTGAGTTCTAAGGATGTGTTTTGAATTGTGTCTTTGCAAGTAGTATATAAAAAAATAAATTGCTTTGAAAGTTGAGCAAAAAAATTAATTGCCCAATTCTGGAAATACTTTAAATTTCTAAGTCCTCTGTTTGGGATTTAGAAATGAGTCAGGGAGGACAGCAGGGAGCACCCAGTTCAATATTCCCGGCAAAGCGCCAGCAAAAAGAGGCCTGGCCTGGCCCACAGTGGTCAGGAGAGGAAGCGGCTCTCAGTTCTCGAACCTCAGCTCCCGGCTGCAAGCTGAGTGCCTTTCTCACCCCAGCCTGCCTTCTCATCTCAGGACCAGGTGAAGTGGAACGGAATGAAACATCATGGGCAAACTCAAGCCTGTTTAGCAGGGGAGGTGATGTCATTCTCCCAGGCCAAGATGTTCTGACTTGTCTTTACCCAGGATGTAATAATGACCTGAGGAAATCCAGACTGGCGTTTCCTGTGCCGAGGTCAGCCTACCTCGGGCACGCTGTGCTGCCCAACTTGGAGTTTTCTCTTGATTTGCCCAAGAGCTGCCACATGAAGGCATGCTGACGTATATTCTCAGGATCTGTTTGCACCTGATGTCTCGGGCTCCTATGATTCAGGTGCTGTGGTACAGACCCCACAGATTCGGGAGGGGGCTGGGCCAGGTAGTAGCAAGAGCTCAAGCGTTGCCTGTATCTTTCCAGCACTCTTTACCTAGTCTCATCCTTTCCTAAGGAGCCACATTTTCTGAAATCCAAACCCGGCTTTGTGCTCCGCTGTCTGAAATGCCCAGCGTGGCACCTGCGACAGCAGGATGAAACGAAGCCCTCCTCGTGTTCTCCAGGCCCACCACAGTCCAGTCAGCCCACATCTCCGACCTCATCTCTCTTGAAGAGCCCCCACCGCCTGCCTGCTCTCACTTGGAGGCTCTGCTCTCATTTTCCTGCCTTTTTGCAAAGGCAGCTTGTGAGAGGGAGCACCCAGGTAACTTTCCTCGGGAAGTCGCTACTCTCGTCTGTGCCCTCCTCCTGACAATTCGTGCCCCTCCCTGCAGCTGGGATGATTTGATGGCTCTTTCTTTGATAGTCCCATTTGCTCTAAGATGCCCAGTTAACCTTGAATTTCAGATAAACAAACACCTTCCAGTGCTCATTCTTCTGAAATTCAAAGTTAAGTGGGTTCCTGTTTTGTTTGTTTTTTCTCTTTTTTTTTAACGTAGTACTTTTTTCTCACGTCATTGCTAATTTTTGGACAACATATGATGTCCTCCTTCAGAGTCTCACCACCAAAGCACCCACAGTGCATCACTGTGATCCCTCATGCTCTTCCCGCCCCCTATTCTCACCCAAACCTCTCCCACTCCCCTTCTGAAGGCCTTGTAGCTCTGGGCAGCTTTCAAGCTTTGTCCTTACAGGAAAACCAAAGGGTCAGACAAAGGTCGGCATTTTCATTCGGTAGATCCGGCTGCTGACACTGGCCCTCTACAGACTCCAGCGCCAGCTAGGCCGCACTCTGCTGTATGGGACCTGCGCTCAGGGGCTGTTTTTCAAGAAAATGAATGTTAAGATAGAAGTATAAGTTTATAAAGGTGAGTATTTATTTAGAATGAGAATTAGATCATAATAGCTACAGAGACCCACACTACAGAACCACGAATTCCACAGAAAGATGACTCAACACTTTGATAAGTTACACCTAGACCATGTTGTCACTTCTCCTGAAAGTGCTTTTCAACTGTTGTTCTACTACAGACAACACAAAAATAAGGCCGTCTTGCTCCTGGTAAGGCTGGTCACCACTGGGTTTTCGTGTTGACAGTTGAAATTCATACAATATGCTTCAGGTTTGTACCCTTTAAACACGGAAATTCTGCTTCACAAGATTCCCATCAGAAAATGAAACAAGACATGATTCATTTGTAATTGTATATTATTGAGTAAATTTTTCCATTTTGTCTAGATTTTAATGAAAACCAAGTCTTTGGCATACAACTTTTCATGTCTGATGCCTGGGAGAATTCTCTACACACTTCCCTCTGGCTCTATACATCTCAAACCCTGCCCCTTCTCCACTTTCCACATACTTCCAGGATCAAAAGTCAGCACAGTGGGTAGACAGAGCATTTCTGGGGACCATTCTTACCCCAGAATCGCTAACAGTAGCTTCACCCTGTGATCACGAGTCATATAAACCTGCCTCTAAAGGGCAGAAGCATTGGCCGGTCAACTGCTCCCCAGCCAGAATCCCCAGGAACGCAGGTCTCTCTAACACCTGACGTGATGGGTGGCAGGACACAGGAGAGTTGGGAGAAGCTTCCTAATCTTAACTGAGGAAGGCCAACATCCATTATTATTGTGAGTTTTACAAGACTCTAGCGCATGAATACTAGGCCCCTCCAGAACTGCAGAGGCGCCCAAGCCAGAGAGAGGCCCAAACCTACTTGCCTTAACTAAACAGTAACCCCGAACACAGACTCGAGGATGATATATTGCATGTATTCATATTTTCTCCCTTAATTTTTACTGTTAACAAAGAT